TACTGACACCCACGTTCCTGGGGTCTGGATCAGTCCCATGCTGGTTTCCCAGCTATCAGTCTGGGGACCAAGAGCTCCCTGTTGTTCAGGTCAGCTGTTCCACACAGGGGTTTTAACCAGTCATAAAGTAAAATGAAATAAGGATTGCAGGAAAAAATGGTTGGAACTGGAGATCACCATGCTAAGTGAAATCACTACTGGATGTTTTCTCTCATGTATTAAATTTAGGAATACAATGTGAAGGAGGACACAGTTGGAGAGGAGTAGGGAGGGGAGCCAATGAGAAACAAATTTTGCTTTGAAAAGTCCACAGTGAAACGGAATACTAAAGATGTATGAGAACACCCAACAGGAGGAAATTATTTCGTAGGTCCAATAGGTGATGATTTTCGTATTCCCCTTGCTCTAGCAGATGACGCCACACCCATGCACACTTGGGTAGCACTAACTGGACTTTAGGAGAACATGCAGTTGGTGGGATGGTATGCTGGGTGGGTCACAGGCTCACAGGCAGAGGGTAGGGGTGGATATGATCAAGACAGATTCGTGAACAAAATTTAAAAAAAATAAAAAGAACCAAATTTAGAAAAAAATGTTTAAATGGAGTCCCTCTGCACAGGTAGGTAACTCTCCTTGAAGCTGAAGATTAAAGATAAAATAAGAAAGTGAAAGGAATATTAAGAACATGGGACAGGGAAAGCATGTGTCGGGGGCTGGGAAGGCAGTAGTAGAGAGGGGGAATATTATCCAAACAGATTACATGCACGCATGGAAGTGAAATGCCAAACTCAGTGCTTTGGATATTAATTTTTAATAAAAGTTAATCAAATTTTAAAATCCTATATTATGTCTGCTATTCCTTAATACATTTCAGAAATTAGCTTTGGTCAAATTTTCACCTTATGGGTTTAAATATCGACTCAGACAAACTAATGAGAACTCGATAATTTCTCTTGCCAAAGTTTCATAAGAAAGATGATACTCTTTCTCAGAACCTTCATGGTAGAGGTGTGTGTGTGTGTGTGTGTGTGTGTGTGTGTGTGTGTGTATGGCTGGGGACTGGACCCAAAGCTTGCACATGCTAGGCTGGTTCTCAACCATTAAGCAGTGTTTCCAGTTCTTGAAGACCGTCAGAAAAGTTCACTCTGTCTTATTACCAGTGGTGTACACCTGTGCTTTGTCTTAAATAGGACCCTTCCATATTTGGACAGGGGTTGATTCTGTCTGTGTTTCTAAACATGAGCATCCCATTAGCTTGGGTTTTTATCTGGTGGTAGGTCCCTCAACAAACTTACACAAGCACTCTCAAGAGTTAGGTTCCAACTCTCTGCAGAGGGGGTTCTGCTTGCTGTCGAAAAGAGAGTTCTTTACCATCCAGACTCACAACTGAGGCCAAAACTCTGAAGAGTCTGGCAACAGCATCCCTGCCAAGACTTCCAGCTGTGCCCTCTCCACCATACGGTTTCCCCCTCTTTTCTGGTTCTGCCTTTGAGTTTCATTCTGTTCCCCTTTACACCAAACCCACTCACGGCTCAACTCCTCTATGATTCTTTTTCTGGGAAACCCTTCCTTTCTAACAGATTGAAATACAGCACAAAAAACCATAAAAATCATACAAACATCTACCAGTCACCCAAGTGTCCTACCTCATCAGGAGAAACAGAAGACACACCCAATTGCATATATACGAACCACTCACAGTATCTATACTAGATTCAAAATGATGTGGTGTGTACCCTTCTTCTGTCTGGTCTCCAGAGGGATACTAGCCATGATGATTTCCCAAATCTGTGCCCTGGGAAGGCTACTAATTCTCTTCAAGCATCAACTGTATGTTTTTCAAAGTGAGAGAAAGTTATCCACTCTGATGAATGTCATTTCTCTGCCCCACAAAGGAGGGAGAAATATTTTATTACAAGCCTTTACTGTAAGACTTGACCTCATAAGTTAAATGGGGTCTTGTCTTACATAAAATCCAGACTTTTTTCTCAATAAGACTATTGACTAGAAGTCTTCAGTAGTCATTAATTCTTCTCCATTCCACAAATTCTTATGAAGGAAGGCTTTGAGCAGAGAGAGCAGGACCCAAGAGCAATGGATACATTGCCACCTGAGAAGCTGAGTTTTTTGCATCAACATGTTTGAAAACCTGGAACTCCTATGTGTCTCTAGGAATGGCTTCCTTCACAATATCCACAAACAATATAAAATATCTTGGGGTAACGCTAACCAAAAAAGTGAAAGGCCTGTACAGCAAGATCTTTGAGTCTTTACAGAAAGAAATCAAAGAAGATATCAGAAAATAGAAAGATCTAACATGCTCTTGGATAGGTAGAATCAACATAATAAAAATGGCAATCTTGCCAAAAGCAATCTATAGATTCAACGAAATCTCCATCAAAATCCCAACACAGTTCTTCACAGACCATGAAAGAACAATACTCAATTTTATATGGAAAAACAAAAAACCCAGGATAGCCAAAACAACCCTGTAAGATAAAGGAACCTCCGGAGGCATCACCATCCCTGACTTCAAGTTCTTTTATAGAGCCATAGTCCTGAAAACAGCTTGGTATTGGCATAAAAATAGACAGATAGACCAATGGAATCAATTGAAAAATCCTGATATTAACCCACACACCTATGAACACCTGGTTTTCAATAAAGATGCTAAATCTATACAATGGAAAAAAAGATAGCACCTTCAACAAATGGTGCTGGCACAACTGGATTCGGACATGCAGAAGATTGCAGATAGATCCATACCTGTCACCATGCACAAAACTTAAGTGCAAATGGATCAAAGATCTCACCATAAAATCCATCCACTCTGAATCTTCCAGAAGAGAAAGTGGGAGATATCCTTGAACGAATTGGCACAGGAGACCACTTCCTGAACATAACACCAGTAGCACAGACATTGAGGTCTACAATTAATAAATGGGACCTCCTGAAACTGAGAAGCTTCTATAAGGCAAAGGACACAGTAAGATAAAACGACAACCCACAGAATGGGAAAAGATATTCATCAACCCCACATTGGACAGAGGGCTGATTTCCAAAATACACAATGAACTCAAGAAGCTAGCCACCAAAACACCAATCAATGAAATTAAAATGTGGGGCACAGAACTAAATAGAGAATTCTCAACAGAAGAATCTAAAATGGCTGAAAGACACTTAAGAAAGTGCTCAAAATCCTTGGCCATGAGAGAAATGCAACTCAAAACAACTCTGAGATACCACCTCACACCTGTCAGAATGGCTAAAAACAAAAACACCTATGACAATCTATGCTGGAGAGGATGTGGAGAACAATTGTGTTTTATACAAGTTTTTTTCTATAGCCAAGCATATATACTTGTTATTACATACACGTAATTCCGGAACTCCAAGGCTGGCTGAGGTGGAAGGACCCCAAGTCTGAGGGCAGAATGATCTTGACTAAAGAAACAGCATATTCTTTCTGCTGTTCTTTGTATTGGTTTTTAGATAAGGTCTCACCTATCCCAAGTTGGCTTTGAACTTGTTATCTAGTGGAAGATGACCTGAGCTTATGATTCACCCCAACTCTATTTCCCAAGAACTGAGATGTCAAGTGTGTGCCACCACTCCCCCTTTCAGGTAGTGTCTGGGTTCAAACCCAGGGCTTCTGGCCTGTTAGGCAAACACTTGACCACCTGAGCCATATCCTCAGCCCTGTCATTCCTTGTTTTCTCAAACAAACAAGAGTTTGAGTTTCTCAAAGAGTTTCTCTGGATCTTCTCACCTCCTGGATGAAGGTAGATAGGTACAGGTCCTTTCTTGCTGGTGCTGAACCTGGAGTAGGCTCTGGTGGTGGACAGATGGAAGCAGTTGGCCCTAAGGAGGTGTCGCCAAGGACTGGAGCCTTTCAGTACAGCTTGGGAGAGGCTGTCTTTGGTTTTGAGCAAGCACAGACACACACACACACACACACACACACACACACACACACACACACAAATAAATATTTAAAATGTAATTTTAAAGTTTTAAAATTGAAGTGCTCTGGAATGTCTCCGTCCCTGAGTTGGCTATACTGTGGGAGAAGGCAAGAAAACAAGCTTATACCAGCTCTCTAGACCTGAGAGGATTCCCTGGTCCCTGCGGATTTAGAAGAAACCGAGAAAGAAAAGATTCAGAGAAGACAGAAGGTAAGGATTGCCACATGAAGTTGTCCCATGACCTCCACACACATGGTAAAGGTATGTGCATGTAGACACCCACACAAATATAGGCGCACAAACAAAGGAATTTTGTTCCACATTTTACTTGGTTTTTAAATTTAATATACATATGAGTTAGGTCTATTTTCATGGTAAAACGTATGGGCTGGAGAAATGGCTCAATTGTTAAAAGCATTCAGTGCTCATGCAAAGGACTCAAGTTCAAGTCCCAGCATCCAGGTTGAGTTTCCACTTCTGGTAACTCTTCCCCAGGGGACTCTGATGACTATGAGTTCTGTGCGCACCTGCTCTCTCATGCTCACACCCCACACATAGACATACAAGTGTATACATAACCAAAATAATAAAAATAATATTTAAGACACGACTTTTTTACTCTTTCATATTTTCTCTTACAATTAAACTGTTATTATATATAAATATATTTATATTTAAATCGATTCTCTTTCTTGTTGCAAACAATGACTCGGTAAACTTTTC